GGCTGTTTTGCAAGGCTGTTAATGTAAGTTAGTTATGGTTAACTTATATTCTATCATGTTGCACATAAATTTTAGTGGAGAAACAATGGCTTCCTTCATTTAAGTACCTAAAATTGATTTCATTTACCTTTCTCTGAATATTTTTCTAGCTTCATCTGGAAACCGGAACTCTTCACAATCTCCTACAGAAGGTAATATATGTTTTTCTTGTGTGTGTGTTTGTATTTTTCCCCCTAGAGACTTGTTCTGAAGGGATGGAGTATTGAACTTTCTTATAAACATAGTTGATGGTCTGGTCTGAGCCTTGTGCCTAGCTGAAGAACATGCTGATCTGAATGCTGTGGGGTGAGGGATCCTGAATGAAGCTGCCCCTTCATCCCCAAAGAAGTTGAATTCCATTTGAAAATTATGGATCTTGCTCTATCAGGCAATGTTCTAGGCTCTTCAGGGAACGCAAAGATGAGTAAGGCAATGAGAAAGCCCTCAGGGAGCTCAGTTTTATGGGGGCTTAGAGACATGGCCAGAGCTGTCATATCAAGTGTTCCAGGAGTCTAGAGGAGGGAGCTGTGAGCACCTAGGCTCAGAGAAGGCTTCACAGGGGAACTGGGTCTTAAAGGAAGAAGAGTATTAAAATAAAAAAGTCAAAAGATTTACACATTCTGAACAGAAACACTAGAGTAAGGAGTATTACTAGTACAATAGACAAAGAGCATTGTGTAGGGCATGCCAGACCACAGGAACATGTGAAGAAAGACACAGAAATGCAATTGTGCTTGGTGTTTTCTTTCTGAAGTGGGGGAGCAAAGTAGGGAGTGATTGGAAAGTGAGTCATTTTGAAAAAGAGGGATTTCAAAGCCACACAAAGGCACTTAAATGTTTTCTTCAGGCAGTGAGAGATCTCTGAAGGGTCTCAGAGTTGAGTGAATCACATCTGTGTTATAGAATGATGTACCTGGTTGCAATGTAAGGTATGAACTGAAGACAGGAAAGTTTTGAGACAGAGATAGAATTAGGAGGCTTTTGCAGTATCTGGATGAATGGTGATGGGGACGTAAACTAGGGGATGGTAGCTGGGTGAGACTGGGAGATATTTATGGACAAAGTATTCAGAAAAGATGTGATATGTCTGCTGATTCTAGAATAATGATGAGAACCTACCCTCTCTCTCCTCAATGAGGTAGGAGGTGAAATCACCCTAGCTGATCACAGGAGTGAATGGAGAACAGTAGTGTCAGACAGGTGGCAAACCCACTGAGTGTGAGGGAGTGACTGGCTATTGTAAATTATCACTACAGGCATTAAAAAGGAGGGAGGAGAAAG